TCATATCAATACAAATAACCTCTAAAAGGTTATTTTCCGGCGAACCGGTCGTTTGGCTTCCAAGTCCGTTCTTGGACTTGAACTACCTTCCAACCCCTCATTCTACACTTCTAAACATGTAGAAAAATCCTAGGGGTTCTTTATATGATACATATCTCATATTATAGAAGAAAAATAAAGGAAAAGTTATAATAAGGTCATTACCTTAATTATTCACACTTTTCCCTCACTTATTTCTTCTTAATCTTCCCCCTTGGAACAACCTTGCTTGAGCTTGATTTGCAGCAATGGAAGATGGACTTAGAGCTTCTTTTTCTCTCCTTCTTTTGATCTTGGCCGATCTTGATAGGGGGGAGGGAGTGATGAGAGTGGTTTTGTCTCATAGGACCAATGAGTGTGGATGGGAGGTCCACCTCATATCCTTTAGATGCCTTCTCAATCAAACCAACCTCTCCCATCCCCTTCTTCTAATTTCATCCGCCCAATTCATTGATTTTTATGACCAAAAATCGTGGGTTGGCCCCCACACATGTGGGAGGTCAACCCTTTAACTCCCGAGGTGTACAATCGATCCCGAAAGTTGTATTATTCAGACTATTTTAATTATATTTTATTTTTTTCGGGTCAAATAAAATATATCACGTGTTCCCAATCGTAATGGCCTCTTGAAATAATATATATTCCAAAAAATTAATTTAGAAGTCTCCAAAATTCATTTCCGGGCTGTTATCTGTTAAATTATCGGTACCGGTATTTGGGCCTCCTTTCCACGATCCAAATACAATATTCACCACCATATAAATATTATCTTTACCAAGATGAATAAAACATGTGGTCTCGGAAATGTTGGGTGGTCCCCGCCCCCGAAGTGGGTCCCACGTGCAATTTACAATTCACGCGAAGGAATTAATAAAAATTTTCAACTTCATAAATTCATTGATCATTCCATAGTGTCTAATACAATATCACTAAGAAGTAAATATAATTTGGGGACGGTGTTACAAGCCGGCTACTTGACTCTCCTACGAGTTGTTGGATTCCACCGCCATGACTCTCTTTGTTGACCGCCGATCATAGTGTCTACAATTTTCGGCCAACTCCGAGATAAGATTCCTAGGTTGAGAAGGAGTTTTGTTGACTATTCCTCCACATGCAGCATTGATCATCCGTCTATCATCATCGCAAAGACCATCATAAAAGCAAAGGATAAGGTCTTGCTCCGAGTAGCCGTGATACAGGCAGCTCGCACAAAATTTCTTTAGAGATGAGGAGATTGAGACGAGATAATACCTTTCGAGGAAGCTCTTCTTCATGGCCGCCCAAGTGTCTATGCTTCCCGGGGGAAGATAGAATAGCCAATCTTTGGCGGTGTCTTTGAGGGAGAATGGGAAACCCCTCAACTTAATTTGCTCCTCGGTAACACCGTTCGGGCACATGCTTGTGCAAACGATGTGGAACTCCGAAAGATGTTTATTCGGATCCTCTCCTCTTAGCCCGTGGAAAAATGGAAGTAGATGTATGAGTCCGGATTTTAACTCAAATGTAGCACCCGCATCAAGAGTTGGGAAAGTGATACATAAGGGTTGTTGGTTTAGATTGGGAGCTGTGAGCTCCCTCAGCGTTCTTGTTTCAAGAGCCATTGATATTGGCTCCTCAGACTCGCTAGATTGAGAACTAGCACTTGAGGATTCCCCCGAGTCGGTACTTGAGAATTTACTTTTTAACCGCTCGAGAGCTTTTTCTATTTCGGGGTTTGTTTGGTAGGTGAGTTGGTTTATGGATCGGGTTTTTACCATATACTCAAACAAAGCTCGGCAAAATAGAAAACTTTATATATAAGTTTTTTTTTTTGAAATAAAATAAAAAGAAAAATTAATTGCCTTTCCCCGGCAACGGCGCCAAATTTGACGAGCACTTTGTCACGGTGCGTCAAAATAATTTCAATACTAAACACTTATACGTAGTATAGCGTAGTAGAGTTTGTATCCACAGGGAAAGGAATGATACTCTTTTTATGAAACTAGTAATTAAAAAGGGGGGTTTTGGTTTTGAGTGATTTAATTCAATTAAGAAACTAAGATGAACAACCTATATGTGTTTAATTCAAGAATAAAAGGGACTTGGCTTTGCTACTTTCCACTTGTTGATATATTTTAGTCGATCCTTGTTATATCTATAACTTATCCCCTCTCGAATACTCAATCGAGGAGTATCTCCAATTCATCGAGGGTAGTTATTAACAACGACCGTTCATTAATAACCCTTACTATTAATCAAATATAGAACAACGCCGTATACCGATAAAATAGTAGCATTCAATCTTTTTAACTCCTTGATGAAATCAATTGGGATTGATAACCTTGACACAACGGTTTCGGTTTAACCAACCAAATTGATCCCTCTTAAGTCTATTAACCACGACCGTGCATTAATAAACCGAAGTTACTTACTTGTGAAACCACCAACGATTAATCATCGGTTCGTTGATCGTTTCTAGTAGTAATTAATGTCGGAACGCTAACTAATCGTCACTTAGCAACCCTCCAACATTAATATAGAATGAGATTAAGGGAAGAATTAATAATCAAGAGAATAAATTAAGAAAATAACTCACAACTTTAATAATCAACAAGCTTCAAGAGCAAAACCAAGAATGGAAGTTTAGCTCCTCATTTGGAGACTAAACATAGCTAGAAAAATATAAAGAAATGCTATTCTAAACTGAGCTTAAGAGTATGGAAGAAGGAATGATTTTTTGTGAAGAAAAAGTGTGCTATTTATAGGTGTTTTTTAACACCTTTGGCCGGATACCCGACCGGGTTTAGTGCTTACCCGATCGGGTACCGGTCAAAATCAGATTATCTCCCACGTTTTTGTGTTTCAGCACGTTAAAATGTCCCGGGTCAAGTCAGACCCGACCGGGTCAAGTAGGGGACCCGACCGGGTTTGACTCAAAAATCAGATATTCTTTATTCGGGCGATCCTTGGCACGTTCTTGTGTTCCGGGTCACATCCGACCCGACCGGGTCAAGTAGGGGACCTGACCGGGTCTAGCTATTTTCTCAGGGATCTGGTTCTCAACTCAGACCCGACCGGGTGTAGTGCATGACCCGACCGGGTTAGCGCTCCTGGCCATTTTTATCTTCAGCTTTTCTCCTTTTCCTTGCTAAAAACACTACTACTATTCTACAACTATAAATGAAAGCAAAAAACAATTACAAACAATATAAAACAAATGTTTACAAACTAACTAAAGATGAAAGAAAATCCACACAAAGTCAATACAAAAACATACATTTATACACTATAAACTAGTGCATATCAGAAAATATGCTTAAATCATAAACATGATGTCATTCATACTCAAGATTGTGAATTAGGAAGTGGTCTGAATAGCCATTTTGCATGTTTTAACTCTGCTTCTTCATATTCAAATTACCTCTTGATTTATTTTGCTTCTAAATTCAGACAAAATCCCTTTCAAATCTCAAAGATCCGCACAAAACTAGGTAAATAAAATCTTTGCATTATAATACAAGAAATAACATTGAAAATGTGTACAAGTGACTTTCTTTTGCATATTAAAGTGTATAGGAATACCAACTTTTCAATCATAAAATGTGTTACTCCGTATTACTTTTCAATTCATCGTAACTTAAGTTTAGTGGCCATTTAAAGTTTCTTCTTTGAATGTAATTTTGTGGTCATGAATGGAGCTAGAAGGGGGCTAACCTAGATCCTGACTCACCCCAAATATAAAAAACAATTTAACAATTAATATAAAAATTTTGTATACTTCAAAAATATTCTTTCTATTGGTTCAGTCTAACGTAGTGCCCTAGCTCTGCCGTGGGCATGTTTAGTAATTAGAATACACCCTCATATTTTAACTGTGTAGCAAATTTTCCGTTGTTCAAAAAAAATTAAGTCAGTACTAACGACACTACAAGTCTACAATCTGATTTTCAGTGTTCACCAAGAATATCCCCCATAACATCACTTATCAGTTTTTAGCAACACTGCTCGTATAGGCTATAATTTTGTTCCCGATTCCGATTATCCCTGGAACTATATAATACGATCAAGAGTGTTGGAGTTCTGCTGAATTCAGTGATACAGGTCAGAGATCCCCACATCACGATGCATTTCTTTCATGTATCTATATTTTGCAGTATCATTCTTCACAAAAAGAAATCCCACAAAGTTGTTGCCTTCGCTATCACCCGTCGCACTTCCGTTGTGTCTGAACCCTGCCACAATTCCAATCTAGTTAAATCTGAGGTAATTTAATCAATTATGAAGTACACAAACTCATCTGACCTGACACGACTTTCAAGCTTTTCATCACACATGTTTTTTCCTCAGCATTTGGACAACAAAACAGGGAAACCTAATGATTTGATAAGTACACAACTCCATAGATTGGTCGGAATATAAGAGGACAATAATCGAACCCATCGTAATAGAATTGATTTTCTGAGCCCTTGTATGGAATTTGACATTGGGATAAGGACATTTAAGATAAATGTATTCTTGTTTATTTATTTATGTACTTAATGATGAGGTACAAAGCAAAGAAGTAAATATTTTATATTGATGGATAATAGGGTATCCAAATTATATAATTTAAGAGAGATTCAGCAAGAGAGGTGGAGAAGAAGATGAATAGTAGAGAAGTGTATTGTGTATGAATGTATTGCAGTATTGATCATGAAATTAAAGTTTACAAAAGGGGTATATATGGGAAAATTCTGGTCTGAGCCTCTAATATGGACTCGACAGACCCGGTCACATAAAAGGATTGTAATATAAACGACTTGATGGAGTATATGGCCCAGGAACCCCCGACGCATAGACTCCTACTATTCTAATGGAGGCCCAATAGGCCCAGGAAGCACAACAGGCCCAAATCACGGCGCCCCAAGTACTAAGCAACCCACGTGGTGCACTAGGGGTGCCTTCGCCCCCCTGGCCGAAGGCTCCAATTCTCACAGGATGGCCAAATCAGGAAAACGAAGTTACTGGGAGAAAACGGCGAAAATCAGTAGCCCTCGGCACTTAGAGCCCTCGGCACTAAGGAGGTCCCCGGTACTTAGAGCCCTCGGCTAATCATCTACAGCCGAGGGCATCTTTTCCGACATAATATCCGGTCCACATGCGCATGGATCACCGTACCAAGTACGACGTCACATCCAACAGCCGCATTAAATGCGGCCACATGCGATTGCCAGCGCCAACCAGTTGAGGTGACCCCTCGGCCAATGGATGCTTGACACGTGTCCCTGTCTGGCATTTATTGCTACTATAAATAGCACCCCATTTCCCCGTTGTAAACCACACTCAAAAGCCTTAACTTACATATTAAATACACTTTCTCTCTCTTACTTGCTCTGACTTCTCTCTAGCTATTCCCCGTAATAACCCCTCAGATAGATACCCCCCGGGTACACTTATCCATCATTTGGTGCTCTCGTTGAGAGGTCGAACAATCAAGTAAGAAACCCTCCCCCTCGACCAAACACAAAACACCTAGCTAAAATGGTGAGAACAACTCGTGCCAACTCCAAGAATGTCGAGGACAGGAACCTGGCCCTCGGCGAGATCGACGTCCCTGAAGCCTCTAACAGGGCTCCCGGGGGCGGCGTCATCGCCGGGTTGGACCAGACGGTTGTCGACCTACGCCATCAGATTCAACAGAATGCCCCCGATGCCCGCCTCGGCATCGAGGCCAAGAAAAAGGACCGGAGCGAGAACCAAATTAGCCCTCCAGTCATCACAATCGACGTACAATCGGCGTTTTCCGCCTTCATCCAGACGCTCACCCAGAACCCGGGTGCCTTCGGCACTTTGGTTCCCTTCCAACCTCAGGTCGGGGAGAATGTCATGCCTCCCCCTCATCCACACCCCCTCGGGAACCCAGTCCTCCGAATTGGGAACGTCGAGGGGGTCGTGGCCCAAGATACGGTCTCCCAGGAAGTCCAATCCCAGGATCGCCACAACGCAAACAAAGAGCAACTCCGGACCTCCGCCCTCGAGAGACTCGGAGGGGCGCAAGACCGCCGAGGGGTCCAAGACCGCCTCGGGGGGAAGGCGTTCCAGAGGCCTCAGGAAAGTGGCGGATCCGTCTCCAGGGCCAACGAAAGGCGTCTCCCTCAGGACAAAGGCAAGGCACCTCTCCATGCCGACGACGCCTGCCACCAAATCAACCAGGCCCACTCGGCCCGTGTCCATTCGCAGGGGGCGGAGGCCCTCCCGAAGGACCCCCAGGACGAAATCATTGCGGCCCTCCAGCGCCGGCTCGATGAGATGGAGGCCACCAAAGCGCACGCCACCACTTCTGCCCCTCATACAGACCTCAAGTATGAGGCCATGTTGGCCAAGATGGAGGAAATGCAGAGGAAGATAACCGAGGGCTCCGGGGAACCCACCATACAGCTCCGGACCCGGACGCCTTTCACCCCAAGGGTATTGGTGGCCCGAATCCCGAAGAAATACCGAGGGCAGCTCATCAAGCCCTACGATTGAAAAACTGACCCCCAGGAGCACTACAGCAGATACCAAAACAGCATGATGATGGTGGGGGCATCAGATGAGTATTTGTGCCGCTGGTTCCTCTCCACCTTAGAGGGGCCGGCGTACGAATGGTTCAATCGATTGCCCGAGGGCTGCATTGACTCATGGCAAGAACTTGCCCAACGAGTCTTGACGCAGTTTGCGGGAAGGCGCCGCACAAGAAAACACTTCTCCCACTTGCTGATAGTGAGGAAGAGGAAGGAGGAGACCCTTCGGGACTTCTTGGAGCGCTGGAGGACGGAGGCTGATAAAGTTGATGGCGCTGATGACGGGACCCTCCTGGCCCTCCTCCAAACAGTACTCCCCCCGGGAACTTCTCGAGGAGCCTCATCATCGAACCCCCCGTGATTATATAAGGGCCCTACAACGGGGGGACCGGTATGCCGAAGCCGAGGAGGTGGACAAATGCCATCACGTCCCGGATCAGCAATGCCCTCGGCCAGACGACAAAGGCAACCGGGGGCCGGGGGCCCCCCGTAATCAACCCAAAGATTCTGCCCCCTCCGGTGATCGCCCCCGGCACGGCCAAGCCAAGCCCGGGGAGGCTACAAGGGGAACCCGAGGGCTTGGGCACAACCTGTTCTCCTGGAGCACCCTCGGACACCCTTGACGCACCCCGTCAGCGTCATTATTGATTTCGCTGAGGAGAGGGGCCTGGTGGAGCGAGATTCCCGCGCACCCCCGGAGGTATATGCCATCAATCCAAACTACCCCTACTGTCGCTTCCACCGGCATCAAGGACACATAACTGATGACTGCCATCAGTTGAAGACGGCCATCGAAAGATTAATACAGGTGGGCCATTTGTCCCAATTTATTCAAGGCCCTCAGCAACAGGGCCCCCCTCACCAAGGGCCACCCCGAGGGAAAACTGCGAGAGCAAATGCATGGGTCAACCCCAACACCATCCCCCTCGGTAAGAAGAGGGAGATTGGGAACTTGGAAGAAGAGGAGGAGGAGTACCCCCGGTACCAAGAAAAGAAGCGCCACATCCTCATGATCACCGGGGGCAATACCGGGGGTGACTCTACAAGTCAACGAAAAAAGTGGGCTCAGTCACTTTACGTGGGGGAAGTCACTCATATGCCCCCAGTAAAGCGGCTAAGGGAGGAACCCATCACCTTCACTAACGCTGATCTCCCCTCAGTGTCCTCCCCACACAGGGATACCCTCGTCATCCGCGCAGAGATCAATGACACTATAATTCACCGGACTTACATTGACACGGGCAGCTCCGTCAATGTAATGTACCTCAGTACCTTCAGAGAGCTGCATCTGGAGAGGGGGTCCCTTCGGCCCATCAAGACCCCTCTTACCGGCTTCACCGGCGACACCATTGATTGCGAGGGGGTTATAACCCTCCCGGTACTCTTCGGCGACGGGCTCCATAGATCCAAGCTCGAGGTGGAGTTCGTCGTCTTCAACATCGACTGCGCCCACAACATCATCCTCGGCCGGCCGGCCCTCGAGGATCTCGAAGCCGTCATCTCCATGAGGCACCTCTGCCTCAAGTTCCCGGCCGAGGGGGGAATCGGTTACTCAAGGGGGAACCAAAAACTTGCCCGCGCTTGCTACCTCCAAGTAACAAAGAAGGTTAGCAAGACGGAGTTCCGCGTTGACACCATCACCGGAACTGTGGTAGCGGAAGAAAGGAGGCCGATGGCTGAACCAGCCGAGGAGGTAGAAGACTTCGCGCTCGATCCGGCCAAGCCGGAGAGAGTCGTGAAGATTGGAGCCAAGCTCCCTGAAGACTTGAAGACCAGCATCATCAGCGTCCTCCGCGCCTACTCCATCGTTTTTGCATGGGGTTCGGAGGACATGCTGGGGATCAGCCGAAGGGTCATCACCCACCACCTCTCGGTGGACCCTTCGGCCAAACCAGTGCAGCAGCGGAGGAGACCCCTCTCGGCCGAGAGGAGGGGATTTATGAAGAAGGAGGTCGCCATGCTCCTCTCTATCAAGCACATCAAGGAGGTAAAGTACCCCTCATGGTTGGCAAACGTGGTCCTTGCACAAAAACCGCCCTCATTCCGCATGTGCGTGGATTACACGGATCTCAACAAGGCGTGTCACATGGACCCCTTTCCTTTGCCAAACATTGATCAACTCGTAGATGAAACCGCAGGATGTGAAATCATGTCATTCCTCGACGCATTCCGCGGATATCATCAAATATTTATGCATGAGGAAGACGCTGAAAAAACAGCCTTCATGACCCCCGAGGGCATTTTCTGTTACCTTGTCATGGCCTTCGGCCTAAAAAACTCAGGTGCCACCTACACTCGGATGGTGGCTAGGGTATTTCAAGCTGTCCTAGGGTGTACCATGGAGGCGTATGTTGATGACATGATCGTCAAAAGCAAGCAATCAGCAAGCCATGCTGACGACCTGAGGGAGATCTTCGCCATCATGCAGAAATTCAACCTTCGGCTAAACCCAAAGAAGTGTACCTTCGGCGTTCAAGGGGGCAAATTCTTGGGCTACATGGTGAGCCGAAGGGGTATCGAGGCCAACCCCGAGAAGATCCAGGCCATCATCAACATGGAGCCCCCACGCAACGTAAAGGAGGTCTAACGATTGACGGGCCACCTGGCAGCCCTCAATCGCTTCTTATCAAAATCGGCGGAGAGGTCCTTACCCTTCTTCCAGATCATGAGAAAAACCACCGGTTTTCAGTGGACTTCAGAGTGTCAGGGGGCCTTCGAGGAACTGAAACGGTACTTATCTTCACCCCTTGTGCTCTCTAAACCCAAGGTGGGGGAGATCCTATACCTTTACCTGGGTGTTAGCCCGGCAGCCATCAGCTCAGTACTCATCCGGGAGGAGGAGGGCATCAAACATGCCATCTTCTATGTTAGCAAGACCCTCAGGGAAGCAGAACTCCGGTACTCCCCCGTGGAAAAAACGGTGTTGGCTATCGTATGGACCGTCAAGAAGTTGGGCCATTACTTCCAAGCTCACCCGGTCCAGGTCCTCACTCACCAACTCCTCGACGCCTTGATGAGGAGCCCCACCAGCTCCTCCCGAATGGTAAAATGGACTGTCTTCTTGAGCCAGTACAACATCGACATCTGTCCTAGGCCCGCCATCAAGGGCCAAGCCTTAGCGGACTTCGTAACAGAATGTACGGCAAGATCAGACACGGACGAGGAGCCCTCGGCCCTTTCGGACGATTGGTGGACCCTCTACACCGACGGCTCCTCCGCCGTCAAGGCATGTGGAGGAGGGGTGGTTCTCATCTCACCCGAAGGCTTCCGGGCCTATTATGCAGTCCGCTTCTCCTTCAAAGTCTCTAACAATGAAGCTGAATACGAGGCCCTCCTCCGTGGCCTTCGGCTGGCAGCTAACATGAAGGCCCGACAGGTCCACGTCAAATGCGACTCGAAGCTAGTTGTCGGCCAAATTTCCGGGGGAGTACGAAGCCAAGGAAGGGAGAATGAAGCAATACAAGGAGGCGGCAAAGGAGTTGCTTAAGGTATTTGAGGCACACACTCTTACTCAAATACCGAGGGCTCAGAACTTCGAGGCCGACATTTTATCCAAGCTCTCGGCCGAATCCCCTGAGCACATCTCAAAGATTGCCAAAGTAGAAGAGCTTAGCCTCTCTAGCATACATGCTAGCCCCGTCATGAACATACAACAAAGACAGGATAACTGGATCTCAGACATTGTCGCCTTCATCACCACAGGTCAGCTGCCCGAGGATGAGGCCCGCGCCAAGCTAGCAAAGCTGAGGGCTCCCAGCTACGTTATCGAAGACGGGAGGCTTTACAAAAGGTCCTACAACGGAACATTACTTCGGTGCCTTCATCAAGATGAAGCCGAAGTGGCGATGGAGTAAGTGCACAGTGGCACTTGTTCAGCTCACCAGGGACCCTTCTCCATATCCCGAAGGCTAATAATCCAGGGCTACTTCTGGCCTACGATGGCCCGGGATTGTGCAGATCTCTCCCAAAGGTGTTCCGCATGCCAACACTTCCAGAAAGCCCCCGGCAGGCCGGTGGTCAACTATACCCCCATCAGCACATCCATACCCTTCGCTCGATGGGGCATAGATCGTGTGGGCCCTCTGCCGAGGGGTACCTCCAACAACAGGTACATCATCGTCGCCATCGATTACTTCACCAAATGGGTAGAAGCTGAGCCCCTCGCCAGCATTACTGAGGCCAGGTGCCGTCATTTTGTTCTCAAAAACATCCTCACAAGGTTTGGCGTCCCCCAGCAAATCATCTCCGACGACGGGACTCAGTTCGAGGCAGCCCTCTTCTGTGCCCTCCTAGAGGCATGGGGCATCAAACACACCTTCTCATCCGTTGCCTACCCTCAGGGCAACGGTCAAGTGGAGAACGCCAACAGGACCTTGCTCGAAGGCCTAAAGAAGAAACTGGAGGCCGAGGGGGGTGGCTGGGTAGAAGAGCTCCACAACATCTTATGGGCCTATCGTACCACCCCTCGGCGGGCAACTGGCGAGACACCCTTCTCCCTGTGCTACGGATTTGAAGCTAAGGCCCCCACTGAGGTAACTCTTCCAACCCGAAGGGTCACACAGTATGATCCAGAGGCCAACGACGCCAATATGGCCCTCGACCTCCACCTTATTTCAGAACACCGAGAGCAAGCCTTCATACGCGCAGAAAACTACCGAAGGCAAGTGAAGAGTTACATTGACGCCAAGGTCCGCTTCCAGGAATTCCAAGTGGGGGATTATGTCCTCCAAAGAAGGGAAGCCAGCCAACCGACCGAGGGCGGGAAGATGGCACCAAAGTTCGAGGGCCCCTACATCGTGGCAGTCATCATCAAACCGGGAACTTACAAACTAAAACGCCCCAATGGGACTGCCTAGACATTGGAATGTACATCACTTAGTTAAATTTTATCAATAACATCAGAGCGACCAAGCCCTCATAACTAGTGAATGTATTATTTTGCGGCTCAAGGCCTAGAAATTTTGAAGAATGAAGGCATATTGAAGACACCAAGAACATGGAACAAGACTCTTATGAGCGGCCAAGCCCTCATATCGACCCCTACAAGGAAGAACCCTCGGCACCAAGTGCCGAGGGTATACTATACTGCCATCCACAGCGTGAAAAAGAACACCAAGTGTTCCTACAGAAGATCCCTCGGCACCCAGTGCCGGGGGGGTGCACCACTGTCAACTTTCAACAAACGGAAGAAAACACCAAGTGTTTTCACAGAAGACCCCTCGGTACCAAGTACCGAGGGTAGACAACATGATCACCTACGACAAATAAAAACACCAAGTATTTCCACAGAAGACCCCTCGATACCAAGTGTCGGGGGCCGTACATCGGAACAAACACCAAGTGTTGTTTCTAAAGCCGTACCCCTCGAGGACGCCTATACCGAAGGCGCCACCTATCGGTGCCGGTAGCACGTAGTGCCCCCGGCCATTTGCAACCAGTGTGCAAATGAAAACCCTTCCCTGAAACGCTTTCCGCGTCACTACCCCAAGGGTATGACAAGCACGAAATATGCCCAGGATTCGACTTTCAAAAACGGAACGCTTTCCGCGCCATTTCCCCAAGGGATTGGCAGGCATCTAAAATGCCCAGGATTCGACTTCCAAATCGAAACGCTCCCCGCACCACTTCCCCAAGGGTGTGGCAGGCCACGGACTATGTCTAGCGCCGAGGGGACGACTTTCAAAACTGAGGCGCTTTCCGTGCCATCCCCCAAGGGGAGGCAGGCTACAGACCACCATATCTTGTACCCAGGAAATGACCCTCGATCCCCTCGGAACTCGGAAGGTTAACCCGAGGGGGGAGCTAATGGTGTATTCTGTTACCTCCCGATAGGCCAAGCCTTACCAAGAAACCAACTTTCTTGAAGCCTTCCCTTCACTACCAAAAAAAATGGGGTGGTGAAGGGGAGTAGACTCAGCGAGAAATCAATGAGTACACCATTCCAACAAATTCACGAGGACATACCGAGGGCTCCCCATGGGAACGCCTTCGGTACCTGGAAGCTCATAAGTACCAAAGATACCATTCACAACAGACATCATCAACAAATGGCTAAGTCCACTCCATGATTGCCTCCGGCTATATCAAAATCGAAGGCTCAAATCCTACGAAACATGACAGGCTCACCCAACAACAACTCAAAACGTTGGTGAAGGCTACTATATGACAAAACTATCAGATGTTGGCCAAATCAAAGCAAGAATCACCTTCGGCACCTCACTAGAAGACGAGGGGACACACCCAGACAAGGCCCGAGGGAGTCTGTCTTTTCATGCTGGACTTGGATTACAAACTTTCCTAAGTCAAACTGTGGGGACATAACAATAGCCGAAGGCTTTTTGTTGCCGCAGGCCAACATTGCAAGACAAAGGAAACTATCCTAAACCTGCAAAGTATACAGCCGAAGGGTCCTCGCCCGAAGGCCAGCAACATGAAATACTTAGAAAAATTTCCTAAGTCCTAAGTACTTTGCCTTCTGACGAGTCGCCATTCAAACGAGGGTACACCTACGACAAAGCTCTCACATTTCACCCGAAGGCTCCTACCTCATACAACTACACTTAGAAATATTTTCTAAGTCCTAAATATTTTTGACCCTTGGTCAAATCTCCATGCAGCCAGAGGGGCCATACGGTTGACGACTTGGTGAAGCTACACTTAGAAGAATTTTCTAAGTCTTAAATATTTTGAGACCTCGGTTATATACCCACGCAGCGAAGGGTACCCACGTACCGAAGGCTAGACAGTAACCAAACACTTAGAAAAATTTTCTAAGTCCTAAGCACCTTGCCTCCGGTTATCTCATGAAGGCTACACAGAACCAGAGGGAAGGAATTAGCCGGAGGACAACAGATGAACAACACATAGAAAAGATTTCTAAGTCCTGAACGTTGGGCCCTCGGTGAAATGTTCAGATAACTAAATAGGCCTAGTAGCCGAGGGCTACAGGGGACACTGTACTTAGAGAGATATTTTCTAAGTCCTAACATGCATTCACCCAAAGAGAAAAAACGAAGGCATACATAAAAAAAACGAAGGCATACATCCAAAAGAAATACATTCAACGGAAAACAAATTCATATACGAGAAGGGGCCCGAGGGCAAACATACATTCATACATTCATCAAAGACAAGAAATACCAAGTGTAATTGTTACAAAGGCCGAAGCCGAAAGCATGGGAATGTTCGGGTACAAATTGTACAAAAATTATCTAAGAACAAGTCTCCTTAGGAACTTCAGCAGCATTGCCCCCGGAAGCATCCTCTGCAGCAGGCTTCGAAGAGACCTCTACTCCGGCCTCCACGATGTCACCCTCTACTTCCTTCATCAACTCAGAATCCTCCAGGTCGGGCCGCTTAACGCCTGAGGGGAGGGGTTCACGAACATCCGGTTGTAAGGGAGGAAGACCGTATGCCGAGGGATCGAAATCTTTCAGCTCAATATTCAGGTGTCGGGCCATCCTTCGGTAGATGAGGGCCTGAGTAAAAAACTCGCCCCCATCAAAATATTCCTTGCCCTTTCGGGCCATCCATTCCTCACCCGGGCCCTCGCACCATTCGTCAACAGAGGCCTCCACAACCGAGGACAACCACTTCTCGTGTCCCTCAGCCTTCCACCCCTCGTCCAGAAACCTGGAGATGGCTTCCTCCCGAGCTGCGACAATAGCCTCCGCTCTGACGGCCTCGGCCTCCTCGGCGGCTTTCTTTGCGGCCTCCGCGGCAGCCTCCTCAGCTTTGGCTTTCTCCTCCCTGAGCCTTCTGGCCTCTGCTCTCGCAAGCTGGAGTTCCTCTTGGAGCTGGGCCATCAGCTTCGTGGCCTTGGAGTCCTTATGAATGAGCTCTTCATCTTTGCATCTTGCCCGGCTTTGTGGAGACGCCATTCCTCCAACCGTCGGGCCTGTTTGCCGAGGGCAAAGCAAGCCTGCAAATCAACAACGCAAAATGTCAGGGCAACCACGCAAGATAATCTAAGGAAGGAGGGAAGAAACCATGAAGGAACTCACAGTTAAGGAAGATTGGAGGATCTGGTCCTCTAGCGCCACGTCATCTAAAGCTCCAAAGGTGGCCCCATCTGTTTCAGGGGTCATGCCCCTCAGGAGCACCCTCGGGTCGACCGTGCACTTGGTCACGGCTGTTCCCCTCGGGAGGGAAACCTGCAGGACCTCCGGGGGCATCTCCTCCGCCCCCGCCGGCTTTCCAGCCGTCGGCACATCCACGACCAGCCCGAAGGTGGAATGCTCATCCACAATCACGATCGGGGGGTCCTTCTTCGTGGCGTCCCCCTTCTTCGACCTCTTGGCAGCCGGGGGGGATTCCTTGGCCGTCGTTTTCCTCTTCGCGGCCGCAACATCGCCCTCGGGCTTCTTGAAAAACGCACCAACGGGCTTCTGGCCGCCCGCATCCGACCCTTTCGGATCCTTGGCCGACTTATTCTTAAATCGAGCAAGGCCTTTCACGTTCATCTTCGAAACAGGGATACCTGCAAAATAGTGAAGGGTTAGGCCGACGGGTCAACAACCATGGAGCAATAACATCAAAGGTAAAAAAAAGAAAAAAAAAATACTAAGTACAAGACTGAGGGCCCTCGGTGACTACCTCCTGCTCCCCCGAAGGCTTCATCGAAAAGGGGATACTTCTCATCCATTTCCCCGATGAAGCGATATCTCCAGAAGCCGAGGGCGAAGAGTTCCTTGTCAGCAGTATAGTCTTTAATGGACACTTGCTTCGTACGACCCTCCGGGATCTTGGCTATTATCAAGCCATCCTTCTCCAGAGCAGCGTTTCCAACCTTCGGATGTCGACGGAAGCGATCCCGAAGTTCCATCGGAAATGGGCTCTCGACAATTCTGACATAGCACCACCGCTCCTTCCAGCCTTTGTTGGACGAAGGCGCCTCTGTAAATAGCTTCCACCTGGCTATCTGATGCAGGTTGGCGAAGCCCTCGGCATTCGCGTGACCCCCTCGACAGAGGTTGAAGCTCTAGAAAAACAAGTCCAGGCTGGGGGTCACCCCTCGGGCCCGACAGAGGTTCAAAAAGCCCGCCACGTAGGAGTGGCTATTGGGCGTCAATTGGCAGGGGACCAAACCCACGTACCGAAGGTATTCCCGAAGGAATGGGTGTAGAGGGAACCGGAGCCCCATCGATACCGACAGGATGTGCACGGCAATGCAGCCCTCGGGAGCCCGGGACAGCACATCATCAACTCCCGGCTCGAACACAACGGCCGAAGGCCCTACGTGCAGCTGCGTGACGTAGAAATCCGCCTTGTCCGCCTTCGACTTTATCTCGAGGGCCTCGGTGTTCAGCCAAGAATACCCCTCGGGCATGTCAACGGGCTTCCCTTGGTCGGTGGCCCTGACCTTCTTCTTAGTAGCAGCTTTTGCCTTCTTCTCCTTCGATCCGGGGGCTACTCTCAAGGGCGTCGGGTTCAGCGGCCTCGAGCTGCTTGCTTCACCAGAACCACGGGGGGAAGGACAGCCACTGTCACCCTCATCCTCTCCTTCTCTTCCTCCTCCTCTGCAACTTGTACGGCGAGGGCGGGCTCTTCATCCTCCGCCTCTTGCTCAAAGTCCTCGGCTTCAACTTCAGCCACTAACTCTTTCTGCATCTCAACGGCGAGGGCGACGTCACCACCGGCCGAAGGCTGCTCACTCAGGGACTCCGCGTCGGAGAAGACTTCCTCTTCAACCGAGGGCTCCCCCGATATGTCTTGGGAATCACTAGCGGATGACATTTTTTTTATAGGCTAATGAAAGCGGAAGTTCTAAGGTCCGAGGGCACCCTAAGAAACTCTAGACACTTAAGTCTAAGGCCGCAGGAGCAAAACTCGCCAAGTAAACGGAGAATAGAAGAGGGACTGACCTTGAAAGCTGGGGATTCAACCGAAGGCTGGAGTTTCTCTCTCTAGAAATTTTGGCAGGGCTTCGCTAACAATATGATCGCACAAGAGGAATGATGCCCGGCCACGGGGTATTTATAGGCGCCCAGATCCGGGCTTGGGCCCAAAAACCGGGCCTCCGGTCACAAGATCATCATTACGAGCCGTGGTTTCGCCCAATCGGTAACACTGCCCGCGGGCAGCCAACCGCCGCGCGCCACGTGTGCCCCCTTAATGGCTATATTTTGACGTTAGGTATTCCAACGGCTATATTTACCACGGCCATATTCTGGGAGCTCCCGGCTATATTCAGCAGACCACTCCTTCACCAACCAAGAAACTAGCCCCCGGGCTTTCTACTTCACTCCACTTCATCAAGAGGAGCCCCCGGGTGCACTTACCCAGAGATGCTCCCGGTTTATGCCCCTCATACTACATAACAAATGCCTTCGGGCTCACTCCTTCAGAAGCCCACGACTTCGTAACTGGCAGACCCCTCGGGGGTTCCCCCTCAACACCTTGAGGACCAGATAGCCCCCGGGGAGTACACCTCATTGACGGATAGCCTACCGCACACAGGTAACGGCAACCCTCGGATACCCTCCTCACCAACTGATCAACAAACAGGGGACCCCCCGGATAACACTTCAACTACTACTCACATTCATCACGCCCTCGATCCCCAGATTGAGGGACTCCCCCTCAGCACCTCCCAGGATATCAAAAGCAAGCCTCCGGCTAATCAACACACTCGCCCTCAGAACAAGGATAGCCTTCGGCATCAGCATTGTACTCCATTTCAAACCAGGGCTTCACATTTTCGATTCATCGTTGGGGGAATTCGGTGCACTCTTTTTCCCTCATTAGGATTTTTTCCCACAGGGTTTTTCATAATGAGGTTTTTAACGAGGCATCCCCCCAAAATGAAACGAAAAGCGTCACCCCTCGGTTTCATATTGCAGGCAGGCACTACTCTACTCCTTTTCACCACTTTGCAAGTGCCTCAAGGAGTGGAGGACTGGAGGACCCCTCCGGGAAAAATCTCTCAAAATACAAAAAATGTCAAAAAACTCCCACAACAAACGAGCATGATCCCTCAAGTCCCGGAATGTGGGTAACTGAGGGACTGCCCTCGGCTGAAACAGGCACACAACAAACTACTCACAAGCTCCAAAAACTACAACGGAACAACACCAAAAGGTCAAACACAGATTACTCCTTTTCCCTCAAGTACCTTTCGGCAAAAGGAGTGAGGGACTCCTGATGGAGTATATGGCCCAGGAACCCCCGGCCCATAGACTCCTACTATTCTAATGGAGGCCCAATAGGCCCAGGAAGCACAGCAGGCCCAAATCACGGCGCCCCAAGTACTAAGCAACCCACGTGGCGCACTAGGGGTGCCTTCGGCCCCCTGGCCGAAGGCTCCAATTCTCACAGGATGGCCAAATCAGGAAAACGAAGTTACTGGGAGAAAACGGCGAAAATCAGTAGCCCTCGGCACTTAGAGCCCTCGGCACTAAGGAGGTCCCCGGTACTCAGAGCCCTCGGCTAATCATCTACAGCCGAGGGCACCTTTTCCGACATAATATCCGCTCCACATGCGCATGGATCACCGTACCAAGTACGACGTCACATCCAACAGCCGCATTAAATGCGGCCACATGCGATTGCCAACGCCAACCAGTTGAGGTGACCCCTCGGCCAATGGATGCTTGACACGTGTCCGTGTCTGACATTTATTGCTACTATAAATAGCACCCCATTTCCCCGTTGTAAACCACACTCAAAAGCCTTAACTTACATATTCAATACACTTTCTCTCTCTTACTTGCTCTGACTTCTCTCTAGCTATTCCCCGTAATAACCCCTCGGATAGATACCCCCCGGGTACACTTATCCATCACGGCTCATCTAGAAGATACTAGTGAATAATAAAATGTACAATAATATAAATGATGTCCCCTATGTGTATGTCAGCCGTTGTCCAGGCCCAGTAGTCGTGAGACCAGGGGTCCGAGTTTATATACTCTATCATATATAATACGTAGTATGAACTATGAACTATTAATGAATTCCACCTCATGAAGTCGTGAGAAGAGAGGTATCCGGTATATATACAAAGGATTGTCCACTATAATATTGGTATATATGGAAAGCTAATATATGGAAGCTAAAATATATGAAAGGTAGAATATATAGTTACCTAAAAAGACTTTAATTGTATAGTTAATAATAATATGACTAAAACATATATGGTCATCTGTGATACTTAAATATAACAACAACAACAACATCCAAGCATTAATTCCAAAGAATTTGTGGTCGGTTAACATGAATTGATCTATGATATCGATGTCAAACAGAGAAGATATACAAGAAGGGGAAAACGTAAGATAAAAAGGATAAAATAGAGATAAATAAATATAAGATAACAGTTGTAATACTTAAATGTTTAATATTATTTAAAAAGCTCATTCAAACTCACAACTCTCTCGAAAAAATAAAGAGAATTACTCAGCTCGACTTGACATCACATCTACTCTCATTAAATTGAATTTGAACTTCTATAGGACTTTTTCTAATGAAAAATTAAAATGTTGTGGAAAATAGTATATTGCAACTATTGGGATCAAAGAAGACAAGAAGTTTAGTTTCTCCTATATGAATACAAGCAAATTAATTCAAACTATGAGAGAGCTCTGATTTCATTCCATTTAACGTCTAACACGTATTCCTCAGGTTGATAATGGATTGACTGAGCTGGAATGTGTTGGAGAGCTTGATGTTGTTGTGACCTATGTGAAGTTACACCGGAATCACTAGGATTGCCCGTTATCATCAGACCAGAACTAGGTTCCAACTAATGGATTGAATATATGAGTGTACTTGAAGTGTCAACCTCAGGACTACCACTCCATCCTTGGTCAACGTCTATGAAAGATGAGCCTAGGAGCGTTCTATCTGGCGCGACCAAGCCAAAGGTTATGGGCTTAACATTGTGGGTTTGGGTTGAGAGGAGGAATGTGGCTATTGATTGTTTGAGGAGTAGGGGTTGGTTTGGCTGAGGTTGTGGTTGGCTAGAAGAAGCACCATGCTCATGTATCTGCCGCCTCTTGTTCTCCCCCTCATGAGAACCCGAATCGTCGTGGTCCTCATGCGAACGTTTGTTGGCGCAGAGGCTATCATGACATGTGCTTTGGGTATTGAGGAAATGAATATGAGTTAGCTGTTCAGAGTTAAGGGTCTCTTCTTCGATTAATAGTCTGGCTAGCATGATGCAGTGATGCTGGTTAGGTCAGCGATTGGAATGATATAAGGGTTAGGATATGGTGTGGTCGAGGTAAGGGAGGACACTAGTTCAGTATCCTAGGTTCCCCGGGAAGTGGTATGTGTTTGGGGTTTGGTGGTAGATGGTTCAGAGGTGGGTAGGGATATAGTAGGGGTTGATTGTGGTTAGGGTTGGGTTTGATCATTTTGAACCGTTGAGGTTTGTCTTGAGTTCTGTGCTCTTGCGATTATTACAGAGTGCAGACGTGGCATTATGGTGGACTCAAGATAACGATTCTGAAAGTCAGTAAGAGCTATGTGATAAGTCCATTTTTGTACTTAATTTTCTCATCATATTTGAGCGATTTTCAGATAGAAAATAGAAAAACAAGGCATGTTTTAGATATTTTGGTTCAAGTTTCATGAAATCAGGTGAAAACCGCATTCATAATATGTTTGGCGAAATTTCGGGTCAATTGCGTGAAGAAAGTGACATTTTTTCCCAACAAATGAGTTGCTACGGAAGTTTGAAAGATATGTTGACCAATTTTTCAAAAAGAAGAGTCCACGAGATGAAAAAATCATGAAAAGAAGTTCAAAACCAAGAAGAAGTCGCCTATATGGCCACTTTTGATGAAAATGGACGATGTATAGAGACACATGTTCGTATTTTGATCATAACTTTGCGCATGATTGCTCAACGTTTGTGACACGAGTGGCATTACATTTACATCTTCTTGCTCTACAACTCTTATGAAGAACACAGAACCAAATAACAATCGTAGAATGGACTTATGGCTCAAAGAAGTCAGACATTTGCAGTTGCGATGGAAAGTGACACATGCTCACCGTTTTGGTCATATCTCATAAACTACAAATTCAATGAATGTATTTCAAAAACCAGTAGTTAGCCAAGAAAGATATATACAACTTTGGTGAAGACAACCTTTCCATTTGACGTGAGGCGGTCGATAAGGCGGCCGCCTTTCTAGGCGTCTACGAGTTTTTGACAGTTTCAGCACACAGGGCTTTGCATGGCGACAAAATAATGGTAGGCTGCCGACAAGGGACGGAAGGCGGCCGCCCTCCGTGGACGCCTGCGGCGTGATGTGACTTTTAGCTGCCGGTCGCTGAGACAAGACGGGGGGCGGCCAAATAGGCGGCCGCCCTCCACGGGCGCCTGCGACGGATTTGACGCGTGCACGCAACTTTGTCGGTGATTTGATGGAAGGCTGCCGACCATGGGCAGAGGGCGGCCGCCCTTCTGGCCGCCTTCCACAAAACTCCAGCTATAAAACCTCTCTTCCATCCCCAACTCAAAACACACCATCTCACACCCAACTCAGATAAAAAATGGTGTCTTCTTCCACCTCAAAGCTCGGATTTCCACCATTGTTGGACCTTCAACTTCAATCTTTCATATCTTTCTCATTTTAGCTCCAATTTGAAATTTCTTTATATGAAAATTCATCTTCTCGTCGTGTAGATTCTGAATATGTTGTTTTTATTTCCCAAATATTTGTTAACAATTCTCTGAGTTAATTTTAAGAATTTCGTGTTTTCCATTTTTATTCAAGAAAAGTAGTTCTTGTTGTTATATTAATCTCCTACTTAGATAACCTCAATACCTAGTATAAATGGTGATAATTTTTGAAAGAAAATAAATTTTAGATGTGAGAGTATTCACTTTAATATTTTCTTTTGTTGTTATTATTTATGATAATGTCTTATTTTATATGTAAAGTGTTAAAACTAGTAATGAGTTGTTGTAGTTAATTTACTCTTGGGCATGAGTTGAATTAAAGAATATGGGTTGACCTTGTTTGACTGAAAATTAGGAGTTTAACTAATTTTATGGACTAGTTGTTTAAAATGATTAATTTGATTACTTAATAGAATTGGTCATTTCATTAATTAAACTTTGGAAGATTATTTATAACTTGTCTATGAGATTATAAATAGTTTAAGCCAAACATATTGAGCACATTAATGAAGCCTAGAGATAGGATAAATTAATGGATAGAATTTAATCTTTGTCTATGAGGAAGAAATTCAATTGTTTAATATGAGAAATTTAATTAATTAGTGAAGTTGACCATTTTGTTAGCTAAAATGCGGAAAGTTATATCTATCTTGTCCATGAGATTAGAATATAATTTAGGTCAACCATTTTAAACACATTAATGAAACCTAGAAATAGGATAAATTAGTGAAGGTAACTTAAATCTTGTCAATGAGAAAAGAAATTACCAGTCCAATCTTTAGTTATAAATACTCATAATTATTAGGTCCAAGATAAAAGGATGCACCCATATTTTATAATTCAATTCATTGTCCTTCTTTGATCAATCCATTTAGAGTTTAATATTTTATTTTTCATTTAGTATATTTTTGAGCCATCATTAGTATTTGCATTATTTAATTTACTTTCTTTTTCAAAAAACTAGTTTACAAAATCAATCAAAAGTTTTAATTTGGAAAGCTTCCAATAATTCGCGATAACCTGTGACTGGACTTAAAATCAAGAAACTCCTCCGACATTCCTCAAGAGACACGATACTCAAGGAAAACCGAAAGGTTAGACTCCGTTTTACTACAACGTCGCGAAAGCGGTCATCAAATGGCGCCGTTGCCGGGGAATGGCACGGTGAATTCTTGGTTTTGATTTTAGCATGGGCGAATTCAAGTTAGGGAGACTTTCTATTTCTTTTTTGTTTTGATCTCACGTGTTTGCTTGAGATTTTCTCATGGATTACTCAAGCGAACACTTTCATTCTCATGGATTGTAGCTCTCATTCCTAAGACTACTCATTCTCCATCCGTTTCTGACTTTAGACCCATTTCTTGTACCAATGTGACCTATAAGATCATAACCAAGATTCTAGCATCTAGACTGGGACCATGTCTTTCTAGTGTAGTCCATCCATCACAGGGTGCTTTTGTTGATGGGAGACTAATGACTGATAACATTTTTCTTGCACAAGAACTTGTGAGGGGATATGCTAGAAAGAGGGTTTCTCCTAGATGCATGATTAAGGTTGATATTAGGAAAGCATATGATACTATTTCTTGGACTTTCCTTGAAAAGGTCTTAAGGGGAATTGGGTTGCCTAACCTGTTTGTTAATTGGATAATGGAGTGTGTCTCTACCTCTTCTTTTTCAATATCTATAAATGGCACCTTACATGGTTGGTTTGAAGGAAAGAGAGGCTTGAGGCAAGGCGACCCCATGTCCCCTATGTTGTTTGTTTTATGTTTGGAATATTTTTCCCGGATGTTAGCTATTAGGACCTCAAACCCTAGCTTTAACTATCATCCTTTATGTTCCAAACTAAAAATCTCACATTTGACTTACGCCGATGACTTAATGCTTTTTTCCAAAGGGGAACCCAAGTCTATTAAGATTCTAGTTGATGCTTTAAATGATTTTGGAAAGGTTTCGGGTTTATTGGTCAATCAAGACAAATCTAATATCTTTGTGGGGGAAATATTGAAAACAAACTGCCATTTATATTACAAATGGTTGACTTTCAACAAGGATCTTTTCCGGTAAGGTATATTGGCATTCCATTGGCCCCTTTAAAGATTTCTGTGGCCCAATTCTCTCCTTTGATAGATACGGTTACAGACTATTTCAATGCATGGAATACCAAATCCTTATCATATGCGGGGAAAGTTGAGTTGATTAAGTCAGTTGTCCAAGGGGTGCAGTCCTTTTGGCTGGGCATATTTCCGGTCCCTAAAACAATTTTGGACAGAATTGTTAGCCTTTGTAGAATCTTTCTATGGGGGGGGGGGGGAACATGCCAAGGTGGCTTGGGAAGATGTGTGTCTACCTAAAGAGGAAGGGGGGTTAGGGATCAAAGATACTAAGGTTTGTAATAATGCATTATTATCTCGTACACTTTGGAATATTCATGCTAAATAAGATACCCTTTGGGTAAGATGGGTAAATGGGGTTTACCTCCATGGGAGGGATGTGTGGACCTTTGTTCCACACAATAGGGACTCACAGTTGATGAAAAGAATTGCACTGATCCGAGACTCCATTGTCTCCAAATATCTGTCTATAACCGAGACTATCACAAACCTTGGAAAGATGGCTCACAATGGTAAGCTCTCCTCCTCCAAGGTATATGACCTTCTTAGGATGAAAGGGAATGCTCATACATGGATGTCTTTCATTTGGAAGAATTATATCCCTCCTAAATTTTCTTTCATAATGTGGCTAGCCTACCGTAATAGACTACCTACATGTGATAACATGGTTTATCTAGATATTGTTAATATTTGTCCGTTTTGTAAGGGTGGTCCGGAGACGGCACCACACCTATTTTTTGAATGTTTTTGCACACGGCAGGTTTGGAAGGATATTAAAGCATGGTTTGGGATCGCAAGGCAAATGTCATCTTTGAGGAGCGCGGTGAAATGGATCCAAAGAGATTGCAAAGGAGCACATATTAGAGCAAAGGCTACGAGGATAGCGTTTAGCTACACAATCTACTGGATATGGAGAACTCGTAATGCAATCCGTTTTGATGGAGCTACTCTAAAGATGGATGAAATGGTTGCACACATCAAATATATGGTGTACAAAGTGCTATACTCATTATATCCGTACCATATGATCCCTTTTTGAATCATAAACTAGCCTCATTTTTTGTCATGAGTTGATGGCTGTTTTTTGCTAGATGATGGACTTTAGATATTAAGCCTTGGATGCTTTGGATGTATAGGGTATCCATACTTGGATATGCCTCCAATTTTGCTCATACGATGTACATAACTCTGGTTACTATCTATGTATTTACATTTTCCCCAAAAAAAAATAATGAACAACAAGTTTTTCAAAATAATCAAAATGAAGGATGCTATGAGCAAGGTTATGAGGATAACAATCAATGGTGCGAAAATCCACCTTTGGAGTATGGAGATTACCAATTTCAAGATAACTATTTCCACCAAGGGCAAAACTTTGAATGCCATGATGATTTTTCCTATCAAGGTAATTATCATGATAATTTTAATTATTATGAAAATTACCACGAAGGGCTAGAAAATCATTACACCGGCACAAATGAGTACTCCTACGAGGTTGACTCTGGAATTTCACCTTATCCTGAACACGAGCTCGAAAAATTAAAATCATCCTTGCTCGAGTTTGTGGAAGAATTAAAAAGGGCAAGGATTGAACTAGCATCTCGTGACGAGAGTATCAAGAAATTGTGTGAACAAATCATTTATGATAATGAACACAAAATTCAAGAGGAGACATACAAGGAAGGTGCTAAATCTGAGGAGGAGGCAACGGTAACTATGGGCGAGACGGTTGAAACTCTTTGCACCCCTATTTCTTTTGAGCCTCTCATTGCTACTGAGCTAGAGTCTGTCCTCATAGAACTTAGTCCTAAAGAACTCATTCTGGAAGTGCCCACTGAAGTTGATGAAGAGACCATAAATGAGGAGATACTTTGTGACACCGGCCCTACCCTACCATCTATGGATGATCTCTCACCTGAAGAGTCCTTGAAGGATAGCCTTAATGAAGATGTTCATCGTACACAAGCCCAAATGCCTGTTGAAGTTGTTATTGAAACGTGTGGTTTGGAGGAAACATTCTCCGATGACGCCTTCTTTGACTCTCTACTCAATGATGACAAACATAGTTGTTCTAGACAAGGATCTTTTTGCCTAGATGATATATCTGGGGTTAGTGAGTTAGTTAGATGGGATGCATTCTTAGAGAGTGACACAGAGTCTAAACTTTGTGATTTTTATGTTGAGGGCATAGATGAAGAAGAGAAAACTCATCAAGAGGAGTATGAAATCTCTAGTCAGGCTATTTTTACCTTGATGACTCCATTTGAGCGGTTGGAGAAACCAGAGGCACCTGATCCTGAAATACTTGTTGATTCTACTAATGAGAGTGATGCAGGATATGTGCTAATTCCTTGTTCAAACAACATGTTCTTTGAAGATTATGTCACATTTTGGTGGTCACGAGAGTTCGAAGGTCTACGCCATCTGACTGCATACCTAGAGGATAAGGTGGATGCACCAGTGATGAGTGCTCCACAACTGATTTGCATTACAGAGAGTTCTCTCTCAAACATCAAGATAGTGACGTTAAAGAAGCGCTTCTTGGGAGGCAACCCATGTTTTTCATGAAGATATGTAAAGATGCACTCTTTGAACTTCAATATGCAATACAAATAATTTAAATATGAAACTGCTATTTTATGGCTTAAATAATATGAAACACTTTGAACTTCAATGTGCAATACAAATAATGTAAAGATGATTTGAATGGGAGGACTAGTTTGTATGTGATCTCACCACTGCATCTTTACATTAATTTTACTGCATATTGAAGTTCAAAGTGCTGCATATTATTGAGTTTGTAGATTAGTATTTTAAGCTTGGTTTGTATTTGATCTCTTCTATATATATATATATATATATATATATATATATATATATATATATATATATATATATATATATATATATATATATATATATATATATAAACACACGTATCATACACTACTGATGTTATTAGTATCAATACTTAAATTATTTTTATGAATTAAAAAATAAAAACGTAAGAAGACAAGTATTGATTCTTTAAAATAATTGTTCATGTATTAATAAATTTAAATGATAGCTTGATAAATAAATGGAGTTACAATTAAAAATACATTAAGAAAATTTTTCTATTGGACCAGAGTCAATTTTTTTATGAAATTGTTGTATTTACTATTCCACAAAATTGATTACAGCAATATGGTTTTTTTATGGAATAGATTCGATTGGAGCAGAGTCAAAAAACCAAATAAACCTAATTGTAAATCCTTTGCTAAAAATATGGTTTTACCAAGGTTTAACGCTAAATTTCAAAATAAAAATAGCAATTTCACAACAATGAATTGCCCAAAAAGTACTACTTATACAATTGTATGAAAGAAGAGGCAACCTGTTGAGCATCTTTGATAACGCAACACCCCAAAACAAAGTTCACGTGAACCAAAAACTCATCTTGTGGGGTGGCTATGGCAAGGCAGAATTTTGTGGGCTTCTAGATGTGGCGTTTCAGTCTACGACTTTGGGAGATGTGATGAGAAACATGTGGTGTTTTGTGATGAGAAGCCTGCGAGGAAGAAGCGAGAAGGAAAAGGGACACATGTGGTATCGTAGAAATATTAGGATGAAAACTGAACAGCCAATTGCTAAAGGCTAGATTTATTGGCCTTTTTTATTTTGGCTATTTGGAGCAAAAGGCCAAATTAATAAGCTATTTTACCAAACATACATGTTGGCTGATTGATATAGTCAAAAGGCTAATATTGGTCAAATCAGACAAAAAATGGCTGATGAGCCATTAACAACACCCCTATTGTGTGTCTTTATTTCTTGCTCAATCCTCCCTAGTTTTCCTCATCCCGATACACTGCAGACCGCCACAATTTCTTCCTCAGCCCCACTCATATCACTTAAACTCTTCTTTGCCCATGGCGCACCTGATCAAGAACTTTAAGGTCCCACCAAACTCGGCAAGCCTGGATGAGGCCCGCCACAGAACGTTCGAGTTCTTCCGGATGTGCTGCAGATCCATTCCTCATATTATGGAAATTTACAATCTCCAGGACGTCGTAACCCCAACCCATCTCCGCACCTCCGTTGCATCTGAATTTCGCAGGAACTCCAGCATCACTAACCCTAAGGTAATTATTAATTAAGTCAACAAGCAACTGGGGGGATCACTGGCTTTCGTTTCATGCGTTAATAGTAGTTTAATTAGTCTGGATTCTGGAATGTGAGTTCTTATAATTGCCCGAGTGATTGAAAACGAGTCTGTCCTTCATGGGGTCTTGGGATTTTGAGGAATTTGAGGAAGTAATTTGAAATCAGCTTTCATTTGAGTTTTGTTTTTTGATTAATTTGCTGGAAATCATGTACTGATGTACCCCTCGCGTCTTCTTTTTTTTTGCCTTTTTCCCGGTTGTAAGGTTTAGCATAGAAAATATCAAGATTGTTAGTTTCTTGTACGAATTTATCTACTTAAGATTGGATCTGTTTGTGAAAAGAGTAATCTTTTGAACTTTCATATCCATGAAACGCAAATGGGTGGCAACAATGCTGCAAGAATTGAGGACATGAGTTTCTGGGGGTTGGATATAGAATAGGAATGGTTGTATCTTATAACTTGGTGAAAGTTTAAAGCTTTTTTGCTGTTGTGATATGGGTGTGACCATGTGAGGCAGTGTTGTCATCAACTTTGAGCTGCTTTAAAACCTTGAAATTTTGTGGGGACGAGAGCTATTTTTAGTACATGGTGCTTTTCTTTCATCATTGGGAAGTTGTATTATGGTTAATATGAGGATTGAGGGGAAGTAAGTATATGGAAAAACCGAGACTGTTTCAGAAACCACATTTTCAGTTAAAGAAAGGAGTAAAATGGGCAAAAATACCAAGTATATACTCCATCCTTTCCTAAATAGTTGTGTCACTTTCCTTTTCGGGATGCTCTAAAATAATTCTCACTTCCTTTTTTGGAAAAAAAAATCACTACTTGGAAAAAAGAAAGGAAGTAAGTATCTCATTGGGTTATATACTTGGAAAAAATCACTACTTGGAAAAGAAAGGAAGTAAGTACAAAAAAAAATAGTACATGGTGCTTTTCTTTCATCATTGGGAAGTTGTATTATGGTTAACATGAGGATTGAGGGGAAGTAAGTATATGGAAAAACCGAGACTGTTTCAAAAACCACATTTTCAGTTAAAGAAAGGAGTAAAATGGGCGAAAATACCAAGTATATACTCCATCCTTTCCTAAATAGTTGTGTCACTTTCCTTTTCGGGATGCTCTAAATAATCGTCTCACTTCCTTTTTTGGAAAAGAATCTACTCAAAAAGTGTATAGTACTGCTACAGGATAAAAAAATCACTACTTTTTCGAACCCCCTCACACATTTTCTCAAAATGTGTGAAACCCTTACTGGGACATATAATTAAGAACAGAGGGAATAACTTATATGTGTGGTTTTAAAAGGCGCTTAAGTGCGAGTGCTAAGGCGCGCCTCAAGGTGAGGCACACATAGAAGGTACCAGGGCTTAGGTTTTTTCGTAGGTTAAGAGGCTTACGCCTTAAAAGTTAAGGCGTACGCCAATAGGCGTTTTCTGATGCGCGATTTCCTTTGTTTCTATCATTTTAACGGGTTGTAATTTAAGAAAGGCCCATACATTAAATATGTCTCCATAGTCCACACAAAACCCCTAACAAATCTTGTATTCTTGTTCATTTAAAGTATTCATTAATAGTTAAAATGGTTGAATACATATGCACAAAAAGAAGTCTTCATACTCCTGCACAAAGAAGCCGACAACTTTTTACAAACACCCCATTCTTCTAGGTAACTTCTCTTCTCCTGTGTTCTACTTCATCCTATTCTCCTCGTCTACTCCTCCTCTTCTTCTACATCTCTTCTCCTCATTCATCTCCTCTCCTCCACTTCTTTCTCTCCGTCTCTCCTCTCCTTCTTGGACTCAGTAGTTGATCATGTTTTCCTAGAACTGATCAAGGTTTTACAAAAGTCTGAACGATAGACACCTTAAATTAAGATCCCTAACCAATGATTAGGAAACTCTTTTGGTTGATGTTTAGCCATCTGATGACAAATGACTTCTTTTCGCGCATGTGTTTTGTGTTTGTGATTTTTTGGACTGATAATTATACATTTCATTGGTTGTTTATTATTAGTTTAACTATTTTAAGTTTTATTTGTTGTTATATTTTGAGGCCCAAGCCTCGCCTCACTAGAACAAACCGCCTCGA